AAGACATGGACTGAACCTAGGAATCTGCATTTTAACAAATACCCCAAAGGATGGGGTGGTCCTCAGACCACACTGAGAAGTCCGGGCGTGGAGCATCCAGCTCCCAGTGCAGCCAGAATCCGCAGAGATGGGTCTCCAGGGGCAGCAGAGTCGAGCCCAGCCATCGAGCAGTCCACACTGTCCTCACGGTCCTCTTGTGGCCTCCATCGCTGCAGGCCCTGCCCTAGGCAGTCATTTAGCTCTCATGACAGCTCTGTGACCCTCACTTTACAAATGAGGAACCAAGGCCCTGAGAGATGAAGTAACTTGCAGAGCTGAGGTTGGAACCCAGGCCCACACCCTGCCCGCCACACCAAGTGGCCTCCCCACGTCCACGGCCATTGTCACTTTTGAGAGAGTTATATAGTTGTTTGCGCAGAAGTGATACTGAATGGAGGGGCAGGGCGTCCGGTCGCCTCTCCTCGGAGCCCCACCAGGTTCCTTTGTACAGCGTGACGTCAGGGCCCCGAGCCCAGGGCTGTTTGCCATTAAAAATCAGCTCTATTCCTGTTTCTTTTGTCTGGTGACCCGACCCAACAAATCTCTCTCTGTTCTCCGAGCTGAGGGGCTAAACATAGCCTCGATTGTTTTTACTTTTCTTATATACACTTCTCAAAGCGATAAAGATAGAAACAATTAAAATATTATCTGCCCTGCAGACAGAACCAGTGGCCACCTGGCCGGTGTTGACACACAGGAGCCGGGCTCGGCGTCGGGCAGGGCTCTGCATGTTGGAAGTGCCTCAGACATCCCTTCTCCAGCCAGTCTCCTGGCTGCTTCACACACATCTAGTTCGGAGACTGGCCCAGGAAGGGTTCTGTGTGCTGGAGACAAAAGACAGATGAGACCAAGTGCACACCCATGGCCTGCTCTGCAGCGTCTATCTGCCCTTGTCACTCACTCCTTCCTGCACTCACCCGACTGAGGTCGTCTGCGTGCCAGGCCCTATGCCGGGCACTGGGGAGCCACCCTGGGACGGTGCTCCAGAGCTTGTGGCCCAGCGGTAGACACATGAACAGATCAGTAAGGTTCAGTTAACATGTGAGCTGTATGATTGAAGGTCTAGGCAGAGCTGTGGGTGGTGCCCAGGGGCCTGTAAGGGGAAGGCGTACTTACAGAGGAAGTGATGTGTGAGTTGGCTCTCAAATGATGGGTAAGAGCTTTTTGGTGGAAGGATGAAGGCCGGAGAATATTCCAGGTCTTTGCACCTTTGCACAGGCGCAAAGCTGAGCAAGAGCTGATGCGTGGGGCAGGGCTGCACATTCACCGCAGTCCCACTGTACTTGGTTTAACCCGTGGGCTGAGTTGGAACTGACTTTTCACCCTCCCGGCAACAAAGAGGTTTTCTATGTTAAGGCCAGAGAGACTCACCCTTGAGGAGTGGACCAGGCAGGAACTCCTCAGAATTAGCCACCCAACCCCGGCCCCACTGGGGGTCTGTAGTTAACCCAGAAACAAATCAGACGCCAGTGTTCTGCCCATAGGTGTTAGCTGTGCTCATTCCTGCAGTTGATTTATCCAACTTCAGTTTCATAAAGAATTTCTGGTGCATAAGGACTTTTCAGGGGGGCTATGTGCACAAAACCAGGGCTGTTCCAGGTATTTTCAAGGGTGATTTCAGCTCAGCGTGACTCTTGCCTGACTGCTGATGTCACAGGTAGTTTGGTGTTCCTGGAGTGTAGGGTCTCCTGGGGAGAGAGGAGTAGCTGGGGACCAGGCTAAGATGTTCGAATTCTCTCTGGGAGGCGGCGGGCAGCCACTGGAGGAGGTGGACCACAGCGGGCGTGGGCCTGAGTGTTCTCTGGAGGCATGAGGATGCAGGGCCAGGTAGGGTGGCCAGAGGGGTCCAGAGCACCAAGGCCACGAGGTGGCCATGGGAGGGAGACAGTGGTCATGCTTACCTGTCTCCCAATGCCCCTCTCTTCTCACGATTTCCTTAGAGAGGGGGAAAATTCCAGGAAAATGAGACAGGAAGTGGTGTCCCCTGAGGATGGGCTCAGTCCCTGTGACCTCACTGGTTTCCCTAGGCCTGGGAGAGGCTCCTTCTGTATGGTGCATCTGGCTCCTTAAGCAGGCGCCACCGTGGTACCATCTTGGGGCCCTCGCTGCTCCGGGGCGGGGCCCACTGGTTCCTTCCTCAGTCGGCCACGTTCCTGGCCCTTCTGGCGCCTCGGTGCCTTATCCCAAAAGAGAAGTTGGTGGCCAGCGTTATTCTGTGGGAATTCCCTGCAAGTCAAAGCAGCAGACCCAGAGGAGGGTGGGGTCACAGGCCCTGGCCCTGGCCCTGGCCCGGGCCCAGCCTAGTGGGCTTGGCGCCCCC